ACTGTGCGAGTCAGCCTGGCAGAAAGAAAATAACCCAGCCGCCTTCGTTTTTGATGGTGCACATTGGAGACGTTGTCTTGTAGGCAGGGACGAGCTCTCAGAGAGGTGCAGACGTAGTTCCGTGTTCTGAGTCCCTGGCACAAAGCAGAAGGGTTGCTAACCACTTAACCGATATTTACGGGATTCTTGCACAAAAGCTCCCTGGAAGTTGCCACCCAGAATGTGAATTGCCCGGTCGTTGGCATTTGTTGTTGTAGAGAAAAGTCAGCAGAAACGCTGCCGGCCCAAGCAGGGGGAGACAACATCAGACACAAAACCACCCCACTGCCAATAAATCTGTGCAATGTGCTGCTATGGAGCAAAGACAAAGGAGAGCTTAACATGGGCACACTTTAATCCCTGGCTCGCTGTCCGGGAGCCCCTCTGAAAAGGCAACAAGCTCCCAGAGATGGGCGCGCGCACGGATCACTGCTCACGGCCGCATATTTCTGGTCTCTGACGGAAAGAGTAAGGAAATCAGCCTCAGGTTCTCCAGGGACTCGGCTGTGTCCTGCAGGCTGGAGCTCAGTGCAAAGTCTTGAGCAGGCCTTCTGTAGACTTTAATGTTGTCATACCGACATCAGGGAGGTTTCTAGAGGGCATTTCATCAGAGGGGTTCGCCTAGACCCTTTCCTAATATAAGAACAACAGAGAACTTACAGACAGAAGGAGGCCTTTCAGAACACCTGGTCTGTTGGGTGCTTGGCAGCTAAGGGATCCCAGGATCTCTTCCAGCTGTTTCTGAAAAGAAACTTAAGTATCGGTTTTAACAATGAGGCTGAGTAGCTTGATCCAGACTCCCACAACCCTTTGTGTAAACAAAGTGAAAAGTGTGCAGGCGTTTCCTCTTGTTCTCGGTTTGAAGCACACTTCGACAGCGTTCAAGACTCCGTTCAAGACTAATCCTCTTAAGTCTTTCTAAAGCCTTTTAAGCAACATACTGTTCTCATCAAGGGGTCTGAAAAGGATGTGTTTTTAGAGGGGTTTGTTGGAGGATTTCAGAAGGCCTGTTTTGGGATATAGATAAACATCTTCGCAGTCTCAAGTGTGCTCTTCTAAAGGAGCTCCGGTGAGGCGTCAGGCAGGAGTCAGCAGGTACGCAGATAAACGAAGAGAACTGGTGGCACAGCCCGACGTCAGTGTGCACTGCAGCTACAGTCTTGATTCTGACACACTTTCCACTGGTGCTCTCCACTCTTGTAGGGGAATTGAATCTGAGGCTGTGAGTTGGCAGAGGTATCTGTTTGCGTCACATGAGATTAGAGCGTGTTCATCCGCTAGTTCAGGGATTCTTGGTTCCATCCGGGAAGCAAAATCAGATGAATCATTAAATATGAACTCGTTCCATGAAGTCAAGAGCTTAGGCTCTAGGCAGCCTGCCTTGTTCATTTAACATGCTAACATGGAAGCCATTTGCTGATATTACACATGGCTTCCATGCACATGTCCTGCAGGGGTGACTGCTGGGTAAAATGCGCGCGGAGGCTGAGAGTCTGTGCTCCTTTTCCTCTGTGGTTTCAGTGCATTAGAGAGGGTTTTACAGGATGAGTTCACTCGCAGTCTGTGATCTCCTCAATTAGTTGAATTTGCCCTCCCATCTGCACTGTACAAGATATTTTAAGCCGGCCTGTGGATCTGATGGGGTTTTTTTTTCTGTAACTGAGAAAATCTTTGCACAAATTCCGAATTCCTGAAGGAGCTGGACAGATGGTCCTGGAATAGGCATCGTCCTGCCAGCCCTTTTGGAAGAACACAAGAAATGGGAGAAAACCTTCCTGTGCTGAGCTTTTCTTTTTTCATTCTGACACGAGTTCCGTTTCTGACTCTGTTTTTTATTCTTCTGTCAGTGTGGGGAAATAAGGTCATTAGAAGGTCACACCTCTCTTTTCTCCTTGTTGGCTCCCAGCTATTGATTAAAGTGTGAATTTCAAACACTCTGACCTGTACTGCATCTGCACGTGTTGCTGACTGTCTTACTGTAACACGCCTGTAGTGTGTGGTCACTGCTTGCACCCCTGACACTGCTGGCCAAGTGTCGGGGTGTGATTGTGCGTTAGTGCTCTGTCTGTCAGCTGTGTTGTGCATAAACAGAGTTTAGAACACAATGGGGAAAAAAATGGAAACACAATGGAAAATAAAGTCTTGCACATTGCCTGTTGTGTTCTGCACACTGTCTGTTGTCTCTGTTCTTATACAATTGTGTTGTTGTTTTTTTTGTACTTCTTACTGTCTGAGAGCTGGCTAAATAGCATTTCGTTATACCATATACCAGTATATGAGTATAGTGACAATAAACTTAAACGTGAACTTGAAAATAGGAGTAAATAAATCTCCAGGCATCTCCCCCCACCATGAAAGACTGCTTTCCAGTCTGCATGCAAGTCTCCATCTTGCACTGCTCCCATCCTGAATTTTCTCACAAGGAGGAAACTTTCTCGAAGTGCCTGGGAGGAAAAGTGACAGCGCGCATCGCAAACAGGAGCATTCCAGACGCGGTGTGTTTCTTCGTATGGCAGGATAATCCGTCACAGATTGTCACTTCGGTGCGCGGGGAGTTACGCGATCTCCTGGCCCACAAGCCTTTGTGCTATTTCTGACGCTTTGAACAGGGGAAGGGTGATTATGCTGCTACCAAAACACGGCTAGAAATAACACAATTATAATCCAGAATCCTTTACATAACCGGCAGTGTGAAAAAGAGTGTGCATCTGAATGTTGTAGGACTGGGGGATTGAATGTATTTGCAGTTAATTTTAGTATACGTGTAGATTAGATTGCGGTAATTATTACCACGCCAAGTAATTGATGAACTGTTATGACTGCACCCTTGACGTGATCCCTCGGAAATGATGGATCAGCTGGAAATTGATCTGTTCTGCAGATCAATTCCTTTGAATTAAACCCGAGCAAGCCCGTTTAACGGGTCGGATGCTGGGCGCTATTTCATTTGAGAAGAGAGGGGCGTGCGCTTAAACGTTTTGAGCTCTTTGCAAAGGGGGGAGGGGGGGGCGGCACTGTGTCTGAAAACTGCCGAAAGTGTTTCGTTCACTGTTTGTGTCTGATTTGCTGGCAGCACTGAGCCTCTGAGGTCTATATTGTTAAGCAAATCTAAAGTGCAGCTCATGGATTACGGTTTTAGGCTTAAAACAGGCTTTGAATTCAGTGACTCAGACGTTGGGACGCATTTGGCCTGTGTTTCTCCTTGGGTGTGAGATCCAGAGCCTTCTCTTTTTACAGCTTTTCACCCGGTGTGTTTATTCCTGGGAGCTGGTATTTAAAGATTAAAACTATTTGCATACGCTTGACTCCGTCGCGGTGTGCTGTGCACCTTGACATCCATTCCATTTTTCTTAACTCTTCGTTCTGTCCTGTCAGAGATTCGCTACAATCTGACAGCAGCACACTTTTGCCAGTTTAACAGTAGTTGATTGATCCCTGTATCCCATCCATTTCTTGAAGGAAGCGAGGGTAGCATGGCTTCAGCAGCATGGCTGGGTGGCTTGTTCCACATTCCCACAACCCTTTGCATAAAGACATGCCTCCTGGTGTCAGTTTTAAATGCCCTTCCGCATAGATTCCGCCTCTGGTTCGTGTTTCATTGTTGACCCTGAAGAAGTGCTCATAGGAAGTAGCGTTGCTGTCAGAGAATTCGAAGATTTAGCGTGAAGGAAACTGTGTGCTCCATGTTTACAGGGCGCCAGCGCCATTAGGAAGGTGTTTCACAGCTCTGGGGGTGAAGAACAGTAAGAGTTACACAAGGCGCGAAAGGAGCAGGTAGAGGTCTATTCAGACACAACATTCTGGCTGTGGAGCCTTCTTCAGGTTCACAGTTCGCACCTGAGGAGGGTGAGGAAGAGGCGGTCACTAGGGGGGTAAGGAAGAGGGGGTCAGTAGGGGGGTGAGGAAGAGGCGGTCACTAGGGGGGTAAGGAAGAGGAGGTCAGTAGGGGGGTGAGGAAGAGAAAGTCAGTGAAGGGGGGAGGAAGAGGGGGTCAGTGGAGGGGTGAGGAAGAGGAGGGTCAGTGAGGGGGTGAGGAAGAGGAGGGTCAGTGGAGAGGTTATTGTAGATGATGAACTGCTGCAGGGTTGACGTCCAGTATCATTTATCAGAACAGGGGGGGCAGCAGAAAGGGATAATTAGTTGTCATGGTTACCCAGGGCAGCATGCAAGCCGCCTATAGCTTAACAGCACTCATCAGGGAGTGAGTGAGCCTTCTGTTCTCCAGTCTGGCCTGTACTGTGGCCTCACTGCCTTTCACCTGGGAAAGCTGAGGGGCAGGGGCTCTGAAAGTGGGGTTCTGGAAGTCAGACCCATCCCAGTCAGTCAGTTTGGTGAAGGGGCACTTGAAATGAGAGTCCACCTGGCGTCACTTGGGGGCGATAAAGAGTCGCCCGCCACAAGCCTTTCCTCTCCCCCAGAGCTAGGACACAGGCACGTTCTGCTGGAAATCACCGTCCAGGAACATCATCCCACTTCCAGCCTTCCACAGAAAAATCACCCCCCTTCCATGACTGTACAGGAAAATCATCCTGCTTCCATGATTAAACAGGAAATCGTATTACTTCCATGATTGTTAGCAGCGAATTGATCCTAGGATCTGATCCAGCTGTTTCTTGACAGAATATCAGCTTCAACTACATGCTTTGGTAGCTCATTCCACACTCCTACAACCCTTTGTGTAAGGAATCGTCTCCTGTTTTAGGTTTTAAATTCTCGTTCCTGAGTGGGGGTAGGCAGTGGGTGACTGTAGCATTGATGGTTGTAGCAAAGAAGTGCCCATGTGTAGAAAACTCTGTACAGAAACAGACAGACAGTGAAGAACAGCCGCCTTTCCCTAGGAGAAGGGAAAAATGGAAAGTTCTTGCACACCTCAAACAATCCAGACGCCTTTTTGTAAGTGAATAAAGTATGAAAATGGTTGTTGATTCTATTTCATGCCCTCTCTTTTTTCAGAACTGAGTCTGAGGGCTGAGCGACCTCAATCTGACTGACATGACCCATCTGGAAGTCTCAGGTATGAGCACCGGGGTACAGACCCCCCCCATGATAGTGAGACAGTAACAGTTAAAGAGGTAAACTCGAGTGCTGGGCTCCAAGGACAGGAGGGAAGACCCGGCCTGACTGAGGGCCAGTCATTCCCAGATGGAAAGAGAGATGCGCACAGACGTCAAGCAGATTGTGTGCAAAAGGAGGTCCTGTTTGTGGTGTGAAATACAGGCCCTGAGCCTGGGTTTCTCAAGGGACCTTCTCGGTTTTTGGTGTTGTGGCTTTGTTTGCCATCAACCAAATTTCCCGGCGCGAGCCGTGGCGTCTGTCCTGCGGGATGACCTCTGTGTCATGCAGGCTGGCAGCGCAGGGGGTGCCCGGGCCTTCCTGTCCCAGCCTGTCTCCAGACCCGCTGGCCGGTTTGCTCTCCCTTCAGGGTCTCGTCTCGAGCACAGACCGCGTGTCCTGACCTGGTCTCGGCTGGAGGCGTGCATGTGTCAGGGGGAGAGGGTAGCATAGCCATCACCCCAGAAAGGAGAATCAGAAGTCACTGACGTCTTGAGGCTCTTAGTGGGACCAGTAGAGCCATCTTTGGTACTTGAGCTGGACTGGGCAGCCCTGGGGGGAGCGGTCCGATTACACCCAGCGCCTGTGGAGGGAGTGCAGGGAGAACAGGCCTGGCTTGGATTTCACTGGTTTACCAGTCGCTGCTCTGCTCGTGTCCTCCGGGCAGGCAGAGGGCGGACAGCAGGAACTTCAGTCCTCCTGAAGCTCTCGATCAGGTTAGCGTGCAGCTGGACAGTGGAAGAGAGGGCACGTGAACAGTCCCAGCCTTCAGCTCTTTTCGTTCATTAGCTTTGCTGGTCTTGTCATGCTACTCCCTGATTTGGCCGTACAGTGTGGAAGCAGATCACACTGTAAACAATGTTCCTTACCGTGAACACAATTGCTGATGGATAACGGTGCCAGATGATTGATATGGCGTTTTAATATCTCATGTGCAGTTATGGGCTGTTATCTGCAATATCGTACATCTCTTGTGATCGAAATGTTTCAATATTTGTGTCAGCTAACTGCTAAATCTGCTAAATCCATATCAAGGAGGTCCTGCGATTCGTTAGGAGAGAGCTCAGATTTTATAGCCGTTTGCAGAACTGGTAATGAGAACAGGCATTTCATCTGAATTTAGCTGGCATTGTGCATTTGGAAGGGTCTGCACTGAAGCCATAAACTCCATCTGGGAAAGACATGATGGAAATATGGTGTTTTGAGAAAGGAAAAAAAGCGCTGTGCATGAGAGTCTGTTTGAGAGGCGATCAGGGTGTTGTCTGGCTCCTGTGAGAGTGAAGGAGTGGTGCACACTGTCAGTCTGCAGGCTGACACGGAGCAGGAAAGATTCATAGATCGGACCGGCGTCAGGTCATGCAGAAGAGAAGCCAGAGGGGTCCTCGTGCCCCTGGTACCCCTGACTTACCTGATATTGTACAGCTCCGAACAGCTCGGGGCTCTCAAGCGCTGCAGCTCTGCATGCACTCTCTTTCTTAACAAACAGGCTAGAAACAGGTGCTTTGTGGGATGGCAGAAAAAAAAACTGACTGCAGAGTAAAAAAATGACAGCAGAGCATTTCCTCAGATTCCCCCCCCCCAACAGACCATTTCAACATTTTATTTTTCAATGTTTTACAAAACCGTGATCAGTTAAAAGCTCTCCAGACCTGTTATTCACCCGCCAGTGAACTTGTGTTCCCTGGGATAGCAAGGGATCTTGCTACAGGATCTACAGGATAGCAGGGGAGGTCTAAAGGGAAGGATCCGTAGATCTGCAGACAGCATTCTGCCGATTCCAGCAGGGATGTGAGGTTCTCGATCAGGGGTGGGTGATCTTGGCTCTTCTGTGGCACACCGTTGTACACCTCTGTTCCCCCTGACCCTTCATTATTGAAGTGCTCTTCAGTCACGAAGGAATCCGTCCAGGGGTCAGCCCTGTAAAGGTTGTGGATGGCCAGAGTTGAGGATGCCTGCCTCTGTTCTAGAGTGAGGGCCTTTTATGAGACTCAGTGGAGTCTGCCTCCCCTCCAGCCCCCACCTCGGCGTGGTTCAGTTATTACTGTCGCTGCCCTCACTGCGCTGAATGGGTCACGGATTCATCACTGCATTTCCAGTGCCTTGTAATTGAGTTTTACCCAGAAACTGATGGATCCGAATATGATTACCCTGACACACTGACGTCTGTTCCCCCAGCTGAAAGGCGGCTCGGATAGCTGTGATTAAGTGACCATAACCACAGCCATGAAATGTGTTCTTTGCTTTTCAAATTTCAGAAGGTCTGTAACCATCATTGAGTTTAGGTTGTGCAAACAGATCTGCGTGAACTCGATTTTCACATCAGTGTTGTTTCCTCTCTCTCTGTTCTTAACAGAATAATTTGGCTGGTGTGTATCAAAGAAGTTATTTCTTTTCTACTCAAAAGATGCAGAAGGTAATCATATTTTTCTACATTTTGTATTTTTCTAGTATAACTCTGTGTTCCTTGGCCTGACAGGTCATTTCCTAACCATTGCACTGATCTAATTCTTCCACTGCTCCTTCTAAGACCCAGAGTCCAATGATCCTGTTTTTCCATCCTGGAAAAGAGGATATGCAGCGTTTTATCACAGCTGGATCTCTTGGTACAGTTAGAATCAGTCCTTTGCAGTGCTTTGTCAGTGGCACGCTCACATTGCAGGCTCAGTTTGTCCGACCTCAGCAAGGTAATGGCCTGGCCAGCACTGGGAGCCTCAGAAGAAACAGCTGGTTGCAGCTGTGGAAGGTGTTAGTGGACCAGTAGAATGCGCTATTTCCCCTGGACCTGAATTTCCCAATAATACCAGTCCCAGGAAGGTGGCTGGGCACACTGCTGTAGTATGAGACATTAAACTGAGGGCCAGGGTCCCTGGTCGTTAAAGATCCCATGACACATATTCACAAGAACAGGGCTGTTAACCTCAGTTTCCTGTCTAAATTCCATTGAGGGCTCCTGAAATTTCTCTTTATTTCCAAATGGGGATGCGATTGGGAGAGAGATATCCAAGCGAGCGGACCTCACCAGTGGCTGAAAAGAGAATTGCGGGACTTTGTGCCCTCCTTGGGGGATGCTTTGTTCCCAAGGGTACCTTTCCCAAGATGCCTGTCAGGAACGTGATTATATACTCAGCGCGCAGGAAGCTAGCGGCCCTGTTTTGTGCAGCGGAGTGTGCTTTTCCCTGGTGCCCGTGCGTGTCCCTCTCACGCCCGCCTGTGTTTCCCAGCAGCAGCAGACCAGGACGTCTCCGGGGAGTGTGGGCTCCAACCGGGGCCCCAGTGTGCCTGGCTCTCCAGCCGCCACCATCATGGTAAGAACAGCCCCCCTCTCTCCGCCGACTCCGGCTCCGGATTCTCCCGGACCCCTCGTGCAGGTTCACCACCCTTTGATCCGCAGCCTGGCCCCTCGATCAACCAGTCAATCAGTCAATCAATCGAGGTTTATTTATCAATGCACGAACACTACAGCATACAGCGGTCTTGTCGGCAATGAAATGCTTTGTCCTCGAGCTCGTTAAGAGGGCTAGAAGAGTAGAAGGACAGGAATTTATAGGGATTAGATTAACATTAGGATACAATAAATCACACAATTGCAATTTACAATACAATGTACAGATAGTGCGAAAGTAACACAAAGGTAGGAGGTATTTAGCGCTCTTCCTGTGTAAACACACGCCCTGCGCTGCCCCTGGCCCAGTGTCCTTAAGGCAGACTGTCTCTGGACTGACCAGTGCTGCTCTGCTGGGGGACAGGGTCTCTGTGAGCTTTATACCCACTTTCTCTCCCCACGCTGCAGTATTTTATAAGGTGGACTTGCAGAAGTGGTTTGAGCCCCAGTGAAAGAATGCTGGACGCAAGGGCTACTGTGTAATTCTACACTGTTAGACAGGAACGCCTGCTGCGAAACTAAGTGACCAATTGTGTTACAGGAAGTGATCTTTGGCAGATAGGGAGGAGGAAGATGAGCATGATCTTGGAATGCTGCCAGTCTGATCAGCACAGGGAAGCGTGATGGAAAACGTAAAATATTTAAGGGCTGTTCTAGTTTCATCACTTTGAGAAAAACACGTCAAGCACCTCTGTGTTTCGCTCCATTGCACGTGAAATAAATACTGCTTTTATCTTCTGAGACGGACTCCTGACTGTCTTTTAAAAGGAAGCAGAAGAAAGTCTCCCACAGCAAAGATAACAGAGGGCACACAGGTTCACCCTGCCTGAAGATAACAAGGGCTTTAGGGGTGAGGTCAAGGCAAGGCCTAGAAATAGCAAAAACGTTACAGGATTTCTTGATCCATTTAACGCTGGAAAAAAAGACTCATCCTTCCCGGTGGCCAGGGTTTCAGGGTGAAATCTGCTGCCTGATTGGAGGGCTTGTTTGGGCTCTGACTCAGGATGGGCTGTATGAAGAGCCAGGTGGTGACCTGTTGATTCCTATCGGAGGGATCCATGACTCCTGCGTTTCCCTGCCAGGAGCTGCTGTTTTAGAAAGCAGTCCTGAGACTTCGTCAGCGATTCAGTAGACAGGTGGTTGTGTGTTACATAACGCTCTGCGGCTCTGCAGAAATCTAGTCGTGTTGCGCTAAGAATATCTACTTCTCTCTCTGCTATCTCCCCAGAAAGACACAATCTCAGTCAGCTCATGGTATTAATAAACTCAATCTGAACTTCTCCCAGTAAAACAGTATTTAAACTGGCCAGTACTGTGCCACATTCTTTTTTTTTTTAAGAAGACCTTGCGATCTGACAGATATTGCCTTCTTTCATTCCCTCTTTTCTAGGCCAAAATGGATAACCAGGTGATAGGATACAAGGACTTGGCAGCCATTCCCAAAGACAAAGCGATACTGGACATCGAGCGACCGGACTTAATGATCTACGAGCCCCACTTCAACTACTCTGCCCTGGACCGGACAGAACTGCCCAGGAGCAGAGAGGTGGGCAGATTTCAACTCGCCTGTAGGGATTGTCATTTTCTTGTCTTGCTCGCTGCTCGTGGAGAGCTGGAGCCCTCCCATGAAGGACTTGGGTTTGTGTCTCTCTGTCAGTGAGGTTAAGGAGCCTCAGGGTCTGTCCTGCCTGCCAGCTGATTACCTGTCAGCTGATAACAGTTTCTATTAGGTAGGCTTGACCACACTTGGAACCGATGGCTCAGAGACTCAGAACACTCATTTCTTGTCTCGGGTGGCCTCTAGTGGTCATCTCTTGTAACTACACCCATTCTGACTTTAAACCTGAGCTGTGGTGTGCTAATCATAATTATTAATAATTCTTTGCACTTATATAGCGCTTTTCTGGACACTTGACTCAAAGCACTTTACAGGTAATGGGGACTCCCCTCCTCCACCACCGGTGTGCAGATATACCAGTACTCTCCCCACACTCCAGCTCTCAGTGGGGAGGAGAGCAGAGTGATGAAGCCAGTTCAGACATGGGGGTTATTAGGAGGCCATGATTGGTAAAGGCCAATCTTGCTGCTCTGACCTGAACCTCTAAAATATATTCTTTTCACTGAGCATGGATGTCAGATACCTGTCTAATCTCTGATAAGAATGTCTGTAAAATGAATAGTTAATACAGTGTGAGTACCATGAATGTATTTTGCTTAACTGTTTTTAGTACTGTTTTTGTAACCCCTTATTATTTTGAACTGAATTTCCTCTTTAAATACACACATTACCTTCACACACATTAGCCAGGCTTACGCTGTGGGGTTTGCAGAAATAACGAGCTGGTCAATACGAGGGCTGACAAGGTCGGTCTAGCGAACCAGAATCAGGAACCAAAGTGGAAATCGCATGGAAGCTCATTTCAAACTCACCACAGGAGAAGCTGCTTTACACAAAGAGTTGAGGGAGTGTGGAACAAGCTACCCCGACATATGATTGATTCACTAAATGCCATTCGGACCAATTAGCTGCTAATTACCTAACGGACCGGGGTGAATGGCCTTCTCTCAGCTCTAAACTTTCTTATGTTCTTTCGAAAGGCCCATTAAATAGACATATTACAGTATATGAAGGATGGTGCAAGGTGGGTTACTTTCAGACCTGCTCGAATGGGCCAACTGTTCATGAACTGTCCTGAGTCCCCCTGTGGGTGATTAATCATAATCCGCCCTCAGACTCCTGGACTGGCTGCCAGCACGCCACACTGAACCGGCTCAAAGTGCCGCAGACAGGATGTCGAAAGCTCTGTCTCGCGCTGTGAGCGAGGCTCCAGGGGGCAGACTCATGCAGCACCGCTGAGCTCCCCGCAAGGAACCTGTAATCCAGGAGGTGTGTGTTCTGGCAGCTCCTCTGCTGGAAACCAGTCACGACTCGTCGAACCGTTCCGTCTGCTGTCCGGGCTCCCGGAGAGACCGATCTGATCCCTCCCTGTCTGGCAGCCTTAGCGTGGCATCGAGCTCGTCCGCGACAGGGGTGTGCCGGCAGGGGGCAGGCGGTAACACAGTGCCTTTGTTTCATTCTTTCAGAGATCCATGTCCCCGCACTCGATATCTCCCCCGCCCTCCCCAGAGGTAAGGGAAACGACTTTCAGAATCGGTGCGAACCGGAAAGGCAGGAAAGGTGCAGCGAGCAGCAGTGCGTAAAAGAAGAGTATTTCCAAAGTAACTTCTGCCCTGACACTAGGGGGCGCTGTTGTGCACAGGGAAATAGTCATTGCGAGGCTGTGTTGCCCTGCTGTGTTGTCAGGGCTGCTACACTGGGATCTGGACTTCAAAGAAAGCACACCGTCTGCACTCTTGATCAAGTATATAGCGTAGGCTTGTAGGAGGAAAAGACCACGAAGAGCAAAGTTCACACAATGCACTTTGGCTGAAGGTCCTTCATCAGATCTTTGAACCTGTGAGATTCCTCCCAGCACAGTGTGAGGGAGTTCCTTCGTATTTGCTTTGTTATTTATTACGCTGGGAGCTTTCCAATGCCAGCTCTATTGGGCCGAACAGTTGGTTATTAAGACGTACTGTCTGTGACTGAGGTCCACATCCAGCAGCAGAGCCCTGGCATCCATCACAGGAAGTGGCATCGCTCAGGTGACACATGGCATCTAAAAATTGCCTCATAATTGCTTTGCTGCTGTCCCAGAAGATCGATTCTTACAGCTTGAGTGTTCCTATCTGAAATGTACATGTGTTTTATATCTGTTACTGCTTTCTGGGCTACAATGCAAGCAGAAGAAGAGGTATTGATTTACTATACATCAGTGTTCAGATCATGCCTGCAGCACAAAGCACATCTAAATGACTACTAAACTCTCACTGGCAAAGTGTCTGAGTTACCATGATAAGAAGTCGTGGGTATTTGGGAACTCCACCTTTCCTGTAATGCTGCTATATTCTGCAGACTGATTCTGCTGTGCATCAATTCTTAATGTATTCTTTTGGCTCATGATGCCTGGCTGTGGATGCTGACTTTGTTTTCCTGAGTGAAAGTATTGTGCCATTTGATTATCAATAATTCAGCTAGCCACTTAGTTCAGCATGAGTACAATTATACATTCAGTTTAAAAAGCTTACAGGTAGCTGTTTACATTGTCGCGGCAAAGACAGAGGGGGGTTTAGAGTCAACCTTATTTCTGGCTTTTTCCTGTACTTGTCATTAAATCGTGTATGTGGGATTGCATTTTGAAACAGAAATGAGGAGACATTTCTTTACACAAAGGGTTGTGGGAGTGTGGGACAAGCTACCCATCCAAGATATTATACTTTCTCGTAAGAAACAGCCGGATGAGATTCTGCGATCAATCAGCCACCAACTACCAGTCGGGCCTGCTGTCGTCTGTATCCTTAATTCCGTTCTAAAGTAAATCCTCTGTGTCTCCTTCCCCTGTGTTCTGGGGCAGAACTTCCTGTCCAAGGAGTCCCGGGAATCACTGGATCAGAAATCCCCCGGCACCGTCTCCATGGCGTCCAGCGTTCAGACGCGCCGGGTCAGCACCGGCTCGGCCAAGGGAGCCATGCAGCACTTTCACAGACCAGGTGGGTCACAGGGTGCCCAGCCGGACCGGGCCGTCCGAGACCGTCTCGTTCCCTGCGGCGGGAATGATCAGGCACTCTCTGGATATCCGGTGTGCACCAAATACTGGAATAACACACTGAGCCCATAGAATCGCTCTGCTTGTAGAGTCCCCCATCTGAGGCCTTCTCTGTTCCAGAAGGTAGCTCGGATTCCTCAGGTGATGTTTATTCCACATGTGTTTACGTTGCCTTCATTCACTTCACTACCCTGCAGCGCGTCTCGCCTTTTCAAAAGGCAGCAGAGGGAATTGTCCGACAATGTTTAACTTTCCAGTCCTGATGTGCTGCGTCCGTGCCATTGGTTTAAAATGGCCCAGAATCCCATTTCAGACCGGTTGGAATCGGGAGGTTGGCATGGAAACCCCCGGGATTCAGGGGCTGGCGTCTTACTTGAGGGTTTTGGGGCACAGCGAAAATGTCTCTGCGTTGGCAAAGAGACAGCCGCCTGTAACTCGAATGAGAGATACTGGGCACAATCCGTGAGCGGTCAGGTTCCCATCCGATACACCAAAAGAGCTGTAGGAGCTGGGTAATCCCTGATAACTGGACAGCAAGGTGCTGCATTACTTCATTATTAATCATTTATTTAGCGGATGCTTTTATACAAAGTGATTTTCGTGTGCACTCGTCTCTTTAGCTGAGTATTTTACTGGAGCTGTACGGGTGAAGTACCTCTCTCAAGTGTTCAACAGCTGTGTCCCACCTGGGATTGGAACCCGCAACCTTCCAGTTGCCAGTCAGAGCCCTGCTTCCCTAAGTGGCGTCACCGCCCGCCCTCTGAGATGTGGACGGTGTGAAACTCTGCCCCCAGGGCGGCCCCGTCTCTTGGTGTGGGGGTGTACTGCCCTCTGTCCGGGCTCGGAGCGAGCAGGGTCCAAACCCGGCCGCGTCAGGGAGAGCTGCTCTTGTCACACCCGTCCTGACCCGGCACAGGGTTCGAACGGGGTTGCGTCCAGGCTCCTGCAGGCACCTCTGCATTGTGAACAGGACTAATCCATTCTGTGCCTGTCTTTCCTTTCAGACAACGGTACCAACATATACAAGAAACCCCCCATCTACAAACAAGGAGGTGCGTGCTCGAGTTTTCACCCTCTTCCTGCCACTTTATGATTTCCTACATCGTTAGAAAATGAACAGGCTGAATGTCTGAATGGAGTTTGATTTATTTCCAATGTAATATCACAAAATGTATTGGTCTTCCAACAGGATTTTTTTTTTTTATATGGCGATCTCAATTCAGTGAAAACCTACTATTATATTTTCTTCCCAGAAAGGCTGATGAGTGTGTAAACATTACGAATGGAGGTCATTCACTGGCATCCTTGGGGCTTTACTGACCAAGGATGTCAGCCAGCCTTTCCTGGAAGGAGCCTGGAGAGTCTCCTTTAACCGTGATGTTTCCAGGGACTCTCCACAAAAAAAAAAAAAGATCTGGCCCATCGAGACAGATCCGGGGAAAACGTCATCCTGGCCGCCAGTCACTATGCCACAGCGATAGCTGTTTCACTAGGAATTAAGCATACCGATAGGATTGTGGATTGTTTTAGTCAAAATAAAACTTTACTTAACCTGCTTGGCCAGGGGTCGAGGAGGCTGCGACCCCCCTGCAGAGTGAGGGGTGACCCAGGGGCAGCTGCAGAGGGGGAGAGGGGGTGGAGGTGGGATGTGAGGGAGAGGAGAGCCTCATGTGCAGTATTTATAGTGTTCAGGAGAGGAACTGATACCAGGAGAGTGTTGTCCTCCCTCCTGGACGTGCGTTACAGACTCCCATGCACAGGAGCTGTGCCGTCACGTCCTCATTGCCCTCCTCCTGTCCGTGCGCAGACGTCTCCGGCTCGGTCCCGCACAGCAAGCACATCGAAGATCTCATCATCGAGTCGTCCAAGTTCCCCGCCGCCCAGCCGCCGGACCCCAGCCAGCCCTCCAAGATCGAGACGGACTACTGGCCCTGCCCCCCGTCCCTCGCCGTCGTGGGTACGCCGCCCGGCGGGCACCTGGCTCGGGCCTGGCAGGGGGGGGGGGGCACGCTCGCTTGGGGGGGGTGACCGAACTGGTGTTGTCTTTTAAGGGTCGGCGTTGTTGTGCTTGTCTCAGAGACGGAGTGGAGGAAGAAGGCCTCGCAGAAGAAGGACAAGCGAGAGGAGGGAGAAGAGGAGGCGGAGGAGGGGGACGAGGCAGACCTGTCGGAGGACATGAAGAGGCTGCGGCAGCTGCAGAGGCAGGAGCTGGAAAAGGTACCGAGCGCCGAGGCGGTGTTCAAGAGGGCACAGAGCTGCCCTGGCACCACGGTAGAGGTCATGGGGAAAGTGCAGAAATGTGCAGTCGAGTGCATGGAAACAAGAGCTACAAGTCACGCTGAGATAGAACAGGACGCTCAGCAAGTTACAGTCCTGCCTCGTCTCCCACAGCAGGCCGTCCGGGCTGGAGGCTCAGTCATCACAATGAGTTTTTCACTGTCTAAATCTGTGATTCCCAGCCCTGCTCCTGCAGG